CCCTTCCGACCCTTAATCTATGAATCTATGAATCTATGAAACTGTTGTGTTCTGTTTAGCCACTTTGGGTGGCTGTTATCATCCTAGCATCAGCATGAGAGGGTCAGTGCCAGGTATTGGATAAGAGGTCTCCTGGCTACCCCTAAATGGCTTCCCTGCTGAGCCTGGGACAGCCCTGACCCCTTCCTCGTGCTCCAAATACATCAATTTGGAGCATGGATGGTTCAGAGTGGGTAGGACTTATTTCCTCATTGCTGGCTCTGTGCTCAGTAGGGTGACAGTCTACACATGCATTAATGCACTTTTCCTAATGCACATTAAATTTAATACCTCCAATGTGAGGTACTAAATTAATACACATTAGGCTGCCCTGCTGCACAGTACCAGAAGTACATGTTTTTTAAGTGACGCTTAATGCACAATAGCTTATTTTACAGCACATAAGCATAATTGCATGGTTTTTTATGTGGCACTTTAATGTGCAGTAAAATAGCTACTGCGCATTAAAGTGCATGTGTAGATGTGCCCTGTATAGACCATAACTCCTGAGGTAGCATCTGATAACAGTGCAGTGGGGATGGAGGCAAGGGCTTGAAAGTATGTGTCCAAGTGTAGCATTTTCAGTAGCCAGCATCCCACGTACCAGTGCCAACTTACCCATCCAAGACCTTCCCTGTACTGCCCAGTGCCCACCACTCATTTGTTCAGTGGTACACACCCCACAGTTCAGCAGAGCTACCACTGCTCCACCCCATACTGTCAGGACCACAGGTAATGAGGATTCAATCAGCAGGCACTCTTCATAAAATACCTGATCCCATGCAATGCTGGACACCTCCTGCCAGGTACTGGGTACCTTCAGAGCTGTGCACACCCAATACTCTGTTTCACTGGGTGCTGTAGTAAGAACCAGTTGCACAGAGCTGCCCTATCAACATCTTTTATGCACTGTGTGAGACATACACTGAGCAATAGTTAGAAGACACCATACCTGTCATTAGCTAACTAAGTGTGGTAAGATCAATATCAGTAAGGTCAAGTGAGGTAGCAATCCCATCAGAGATGGGTCAGAGTGTGTGTACACTTTAGTGATGGGGGGACGGAATTAGCAAGAGGGGGAAATCAGTTTCTCTGTCCACAAACAATAGCCAGCTGCAATATTTTATGTCTCCTGGGTACAGGCTCCATGTACACCATGCAGACACCAGAAGAGCCAGAAATTTCCCTTGGGCAGTTCAGACACTGGAGCTAAATGTAGAAAATGTTCCTACATGGTAGAAAACAGAGCCTTCCACATGCATTTGTGCAGCAATTCTTACAGGTAACTTGTTTGTTGCTTCCTGCATCTCTCTAAAAGGGGACTCTCTAGCAGGTCTCTCTAAAAGTCCACCTGAGGTGATCCAGTGCCTCTCCTGATCCTGGGTGTTTCTCATTAAACCTTCAGAGTGTATCATTATTGGTGGGGCTGGGCTGTAGTAACACTCACATGAAGATTGCCTAGCATAAAGGCCTCACATTGGATTAGCTTGGCCTGTATTCCTTGTTCTTAGAAGCACTGGGGTTTTACAAAATCCCTGCTGGAGCTTTCCACAGAACATGCTTGCTTTCTCTCCTATCATTCCCAGTGCTCCTGGGCAGGCTAGGAAGAGTGCAGGAACTCAGCTCCTTATGTGCTTTGAATCATGTCCACAACCTGGCAGCACAGGGCAGCAGTCACCATGGGAAAGGTTCTGTAGAACAAGTTTGCTTTGGGAATCTGGAGAACACCCCAGTTCAGCCTGGAAAGACTGAGCTAGTGTGGTTTATTTTGTTTTTCCAGTCAGAAGGATCTTTCGTATATACCACATGCACACAGCAGGTGCTTTGGAGAGCTGTCACCCCCACAGGCGATGGTCCCTGTGTTGGATGAGAAAGAATCAGCTGCAGTACCTCCAGCCTGCAGTGCAAGGGTTGGTTTGAAACAGTGTTTCATATGCTCCTTCCCATGAATTTGCCATCACCAGACATTTTGTTTCAGTCCAGAGGTATCAGAAGGAAACTTCTCTGCTGCATCCCACAAAGGGGATCACACCAAAATCCTGTCCGCAGCTCCAGGAGTGACAGACAGAACCAGCTCAGGCCAAAACTGTGATCCACTTCTGTGGGCTTCTGAGCAAGGAGACTTCATCCATCCCTTCTGCTTCAAGGTCACCAAGGCCAGTAGAAACAATATGTTGACCTGACAGAACCATTGCAAACCCCTAAGAAGCAGTCAACAGACTTTATATATGTGGGCTTTCTGTGGGTGGCCCAGGGTGGAAAGGGGTTCTTCAATGTTTGTTGTTTTTTTCTCATCAACATCTTGGATGGAGTCCCAGGGAAGCCACCTTGTTGTCCACTGTCTTCATCGTAGCCACATCTCCTCACGCTCCTGCTCTGCTCTTCGTAGAGTATCGTTGTCATCATCAGGCAGAGCAGGAGACCCCAATCCTCTCGCCAGCATCTAGCACAACATTAAACATCAAAATTTTAAAAAGCACAAAATACAAAGGGACTGAAGGAACCTTTGAAACAGGGTGAGATGTTTTATAAATGTTCCCCCATCCGCCCCGCCCCTCCCTCCATGTTACCACTAGATTCTCAACGTAGATTATTTCATTCAAATAAAGCTGCAGTACTCAAATGAGAGAGCACATGTGTCCATTTGTGTTGGGTGCCAGGGGAGGTTATTTCTATCTGTGTCTATCTCAGTGCATAAACATCCTGGGGCACAGGGCGCTGATCTGGGGAGTTCAGGTCTGGGTGTGCTGCTAATAGTGGTGCTTAGTGTTGAGAGAACGCACTGACACACATTGGAGGGTCTGTTCATCCCAGCGCAGAGGCCCTCACTTCACTGATGTGCCCATAATTGGTGGCATTGACTCTCTTTCTTTCTCAAACCTACCCCTCCTGTCCTAGCGCCCAGCCCTGCAGTTACAGAGGTTACTGGTTGCTGCTTTTGGTAAGCAATAGCCAGTCTCATCTGGTCCCTTACATAGGTCTCTCCTGTGAAGGACCGGGCAGCAGCTTGAAAACAATTCTAGTCTGTGAAACAAGCAGGGAGCTGTCCAGCTTCATTGCAGCAGTATGGCCCTCCCACCCAATGCTGTCCCCTCCAGAAGCACCAGCCAGAGACCAGTTACTGTAGGTCTTGAACCTTACTTCATAGATACTGGTGATAATACCTATGGCCCTTAACCACAACAGGTTCTCAGATGAAGATGTCTGCTTCCTTCAAGATATACTCAGCTATATCCCAGCCAGACTCTGTATATATAGCTTCATGTGGGCACTGTGCCTGGAGCTGTGTCTGGTCTACCACCTAGGAGACATGGGCCTCGTTTCTGAGCATGGGTTTGTACTCCCTGGGATGGCAGGGCCTGGGAGCATTGGCTTGGGACTTTGTAGAAGCCAAAGCCATATCTAATAAATACGCATCCAGAAAACAAATGGCAAGCACTATGGGTATCTCTGATCCCATTGTGAGCCAGTAGGCTATGTAAACTGTCTACCTTTGTAATATCCATTGTAATAAACCAATACCACCTAGGATTTCGTCGTTGTCTATGTATCACGTACCATGGGCACATGGAATTGGATGGTATTGACACGGATGGACCTTGGAGCCTCCTGGTCCAAAAGTGCAGCCCCCCAAGCACTTTCACTGCAAGACTGTCTCTGTTACCAGCACCAGATGTGACTCCCAGCAG